GGTCTCACTCTTGCTCTGGCTGGTCTTGAACTCCTGAGTTCCAGCAATCCTCCTGCCTCAGCCTCCCAGAGTGTTAGGATTACAGGCAAAGCCATGTAATCTTATTCTTCTAAGATAAAGTATTTTCTAAATGTGTAATAATTAATGAGAACAGTGATAATTATCACTGTAGGCAGACAAGGGTGCTGGAAAGATTGAATGTTTTGAAATCAAAAAGTTTATCTAAGCCTGAATCCTGGCTTTGCCATTTGGGTCTGGTTTTGGGTAAAGTCACTTCACTCAACCAAGCCTTAGTGTCCCCATCTGTAATTAAGAGAACACAATATTTACTTCATGAAGTTAGCTAGCTGTGAGGATTAAATAAATGACAAAACATCTGTAACCCCTCTTGCTCAGTGCCTGGTACTTTTAATAAATGACAGCCATTAGTGTTTTTGTTGTCTTGAGTTTAATATGGACTTAGAGAGGTGATTATGGTAATCAAATAAAGTATAACTGCAAGATTGCCAGCCCAGAACCCTTCCTTCGGGAACAAAGCTTTTCCAAGGTAAGAATGTTTACTCAGAACAAAGACAAATTCAGAACTTTAAAATTTCAACCCCTCACATAATATTCTGAGCTACAGATCAAAAAAACTTTCTGATTCTACCTCTTTCCCCAATCAAATTTTGAGGCAAACAAGAAGCACAAGAGACAAGCCACCAAAATGTGCAGGGAGAAGGTAAAGGAGCAAATACTAAAGACAGTAATGTGAGTGGCAATTCTATTTAAATGTCACTTTCTCAGAGAGAACTTCTCTGATCATTCTATCTAAAATGGTACCTACAATGCCCCTCCCCCATCATTTTCCAACCCCATAAGCAAATTTACTTTTCTTATGGGAGCTGACTATTAATTTTATATATTTATTCATTTATTGTTTATCTACTCTACTGTAAGCTCCTTGGTGAAGGAATTTGGTCTATTTTGATCATGGCTGTATCCCTAGTGTCTTGAATAGGGTCTGGCATTCAAGAAATATTTGTGGAGTGATTGAATAATAGTACTTATTTCCTGAGTACTTATATGCAGGCAATGAATTTGGTACTTTATTTACTTAAAAACCACTTAGGTGGTTCTTAGTATGTTCAAAGCACTGTTGGAAATTATTAATGGTGACAACACTCCCATGAAATTGTATGATTTCCTTCATTTTACATGTGAGCAGAGAGTCTCAAAAGAGTTAAGTAGCTTGCCCAACATCCTCCAGCTGAAAAATGTCAGTAAGCTAGGATCCCCAGTCAGGCAGGTCTGCTTTACTCCCAAGCTCCTGCTCTTTCTTCTACGGCTCTGATGGGGTGGAAGGCATCAGAGATGGGGACTAAAGTTAGTGTCACAGAATGCTGAGTTTGGAGATGCATAAAGTCAGAAGAGGGTGAACAATCAGCTTGGTTCTGGTGAGGAAAATGGAATTCCTAGGTAATCATTTGAACTTAGGTAGGCAAATGTGAGACACTGGTGCATTATTACAACAGAAATGTTTATGTTAGCACTGTTCCTCGTTACTGCAACATGTTATGTTGTATCACCAAAGCTGGAGAACTGGACATTTTTGTTTACAACATGAAAACAACTTTATTCAACATCTGTTAAAGATTTTTTTCCTCATTTGTATTACCCATAGAGGTATCATTTACTATTTCTGATGTGAAAGGAGAAAACATGAACTCACTCTCTTACAACTGCATATCCAAGTATGCAGTCATATATTTAGTATGCTAAATGTATATGTGATCATTTTATGAATAATTGAAGCTGAAAATTTTGTTTTCTAACAAGACAAAGATCCAGAAACCAATATGATTTGAAGGTGAAGTGCCAATTTATAGACTAATATTTTCAATGCCATCAGGAA